ATAATAATGAAATAGAAAGAAGATGAACAGTATAGAGAAACAGAAGAGAGGTAAACAATATTGGTAGCAATAAAATTTAAGTTAATTCCTGGGAAAGATGATCAAAACTGATAAACACACCAGACTAATCAGGAAAAAAGGTTTAGAATAAGTGTTATTGTTGCTAGTTACTGTGAAGTCAGCTTCTATTTATGTATAATAGAATGAAATATTGCCCAGTCCCGGATCATCTTCATGATGTTTAGAATCCATTGTTGTGATTCTTGTATCTATCAATCCATCTAACTGAGGACTTACCTCGTTTTACTGAGTCTCTACCAAACAAACTAGAAATTGCTCTTTTCTAGTGAGGGCTCTTTCCTGGCGATATATGCAAAGTGAAAAAAGCCAACGTCTCACCGTTGTCGCTTCTAAACCTTCTTGTACTTTCAGGTTATCTCAGAAAGGATGATAAAATCCCAGAGACTCTTTCATTTGATATGATCAGGGCGACAAAGAACAAGCTCTGAGTGAAATGAGCTCTTTGATAATTGCCCTGTCAGCGGCAGGAGAGATCTTCGTGGTTATGGGGTGAAGGCAGCCAAAAGAAAGGAGCCTTTAGCAAACCTGAACTTAGAAAAGCAATTTCAACTGAGAAAGGCAGCAACTATGAAGGCCAAACAGAAATATCCATGCCGGTTGGATTTTGAAAATCCAGGAGTGATGTTGTAGCCACAAACCTGGGTTAATAAGAATGTTACCGGCTGTGTTCCGAGCAGCGCACCTGAAGCTGCCGCGCTGTTTACACCACACCCAACAGCATCTCGGGCTGATGGTCACGCGGGCGCCCCTCTGGTGGGCATCCCTATGAACGGTTGCCCTATACAGCAAAAAGGGGAAAAAAAGAATGTTATATCGCTTCTCGGCCTTTTGGCTAAGATCAAGTGTAGTCCAGTAAGAATGTTATATTGAAGATTCAATTCATCAAAGTGTGCCTTTCACAAAACTGTGATATTTGCCTCTTTCTGCTCTGGAAGTACCAATAAATTTTCTAAAAGAATTATTTTACTAGGTTCATCCTTTGACAATATGTTCATCCTTGATGCCTGTGGTCTATCTAGTTCTCAGTACAATGGGATCCTATCTAATTTGTACTGCTAACAAAGATTGTACTTAAAATGCTATTAACTTTCCTAAGCTACTATCTGAAATGTATAACAATGCAATTTTTATATTTCATTTTATTTTTTAATAAATGTTATTTTTAAAACAAGTGTGTACACTAATAACTATCTTATTATTTACATAATAATCTGAATAATTTTAAATCATTAAAATAACATATTCAGTGTTAATAATATAAAAATAAAATGCTAAAATCTCATAAAACAGAGGTATTTTCATCTTCTTCAAAACACTACTTTAACTATTAACAACTATTAACTATTTAACGATTAACAACTTTGCACTATATCATAAAGTTGATGAGTCACGTTTGCTTTTTTTGCTTTTCTTTAACTTTTGAAGTTGCTAGAGCTATGTCTTAGTTATCTAGTGCCATAACAGAAATGCTGTAAGTGGATGGCTTTAATATGCAGAAAATTTTTCTCTTACACTTTTGGGGGCAAAAATCCAAATTCAAAGCACCAGCCCTAGGGAAAGGCTTCGACTCTGGCAGCCCTGAGAATGGTCCTCGTCTCCTTTCAAGATCTGTGATCAGGCATTCCCTGGAGACCAACATGTCCCTTGGTGTCAATCTTCCCCTGAGTTTAGGAGGTTCTCAGTGCAGGGACTTAAGTCCAAAGGATGAGCTCTACTCAGAGCTGGTCCTTCTTAGTAGCACTAGATCCCTTGATCTCCGTGCACTTCTCTCTCTTTTTACCTTTTGTGAGGTAAAAGATGGTGCCAACTACACACCAGGGAAACTCCTCTAAGATCAGGGTTAACTTGATTAAGGATGCTTCATCCCACCTTAATCCTTTTACAACTTTTGATCGCATGAAATCTCATCCTGAGGGATGAGTACATTATCACGTAAATGCCAAGCCACTGAGAATAATGGCCCAGTCAAGAAAACACATATTTCGGGGGAATACAATCAAATCCAGGACATCGTTAAGGGATTTTGATTTTATTTGACATATTTCTGACTTTATTCTTCCCCAAGTTGTAAGGTTTACACACTCCTCTTAGCTGGTCCTTGATAAAAAGATTGTTCAAATATAATCTTATTTTAGTGTAATTTTAATAATTTTCTTCAATAGATTTGTATTGTTTCATAATCAGCAAAACATCATATAAAAAGACAAATCCTGAATATATATATATGTATATATATAATAAAGATGACCCTTTTTAAAAATTATTTTATTGGGGGCTCATACAACTCTTATCACAATCCATACATACATCCATTGTGTCAAGCACATTTGTACATTTATTGCCATCATCAATCTCAAAACATTTGCTTTATGCTTGAGCCCTTGGTATCAGCTTCTCATTTTACCCCTTCCCGCCCTGCTACCCCTTCCCTCACAAACCCTTGATAATTTATAAATTATCATTATTTTGTCATATCTTACACTATCCAATATCTCCCTTCACCCACTTTTCTGTTGTCCATCCCCCAGGGAGGAGGTTATGTATAGATCCTTGTAATAGGTTCCCCCTTTCCACTCCACCCTCCCAGTATCGACACTCTCAGCACTGGTCCTGAAGGGATCATCTGTCCTGGATTCCCTGTGTTTCCAGTTCTTATCTGTACCAGTGTACATCCTCTGATCTAGCCAGATTTGTAAGATAGAATTGGGGTCATGACGGGGGGGCAGGGGGGTGAAGCCTTTAGGAACTAGAGGAAAGTTGTATGTTCCATAGTTGCTACACTGCACCCTGACTGGCTCGCCTCCCCGAGACCCTTCTATAAGGAGATCCACAGTTTCCTACAGATGGGTCTTGGGTCCCCAATCTACACTCCCCCTCACAATGATTTGATTTTTTGGTCTTTGATGCCTAATGCCTGATCCCTTCAACACCCAAGATCACCCTTATAGTACAATTTTTGGTACTCCACTGTGATACTCCACTGAAATTTGTTACACCTAATCTGTAGTGTAGAGTCTTATCTGTATAAATGCTATAAGAAAAATTATAACTCAATTTCTAAACTCAGACTCTCGTGGTTAAAAAATATGCTTTAAGGAAGGCAGCAAATGGTGCAAAATATGAAAATAGAAATGATTTATAAATTATCAAGGGTTCATGAGCGTGGGAGGGTGTGGGAGAGAGGGGCCAAAAAAGGAACTGATACCAAGGGCTCAAGTAGAAAGAAAATGTTTTGGAAATGATGATGGAAACATATATACAAATGTGCTTGATGCAATTGATGTATGATTGTTATAAGAGCTGTAAGAACCCCCGATAAAATGATTTATAAAACTAAATAAGTAAATAAAATGTGAAAGATATTTTAACAATATTGAAAATCCTCTTTCTCCAGGGATCATGGTGTTCTTCAAGTCACAGAGCAATATAGCAAAAAGTAACAGATTAGTAGACAATATTATTGACCGCAACACATCTACTAATGGCATTAGAACAGATGGATGTCAGTTCAAGTTTACCCAAAAGAAGAGTTTCTTACCCTTCCCCACTTTTTCACAATGCCCTCCTACATCATCAGTTCCCTCGCTTCTACCACCCCAGTGTCATACCCACAACAAGCAGTAGAGCTAGTTTGATTTGTCAGTCTGCCAGAGTCACACCCAGTGACCTAAACTCTTGGGTACCCAAATTGGCTATAACATGTACCAGAAGCCTATAAATTCTTAAAGATCTGCACTTGTATCAGAGATGCCAGTATACATCTACCACCAAATTCTGTATATTGTAAACACAAAGATTTTATCAGCACAAGTCAAAAAATTTTATGCTTCAACAATTGCAGCAGTACATTGTCAGGGAACTGACAGAAATTCAACCTGAATTCTGCAGACAATGTGGAACAAGGGATATCAGTGATGATGCCAGATGAACCCTGGCTAAAATCAAAGAATACCAGAGGGATGTTTGCCTGTGTTTCTTTGGCCATACAATTGTACTGTGCGGATCATAATTATGGGTAACATTGCCGAGATGGGAAATTCCAGAGCACTTCATTGTGTTCATGTGGAACCTGGACACAGACCAAGTGGCAGTCAGCTGCAGGAACAAAAGGATACTGCTTAGTATGAAATCAGGAGAAGTATGGATCAGGGCTGTGTCCTTTCACATACTTATTCAATTTGTATACTGAGCAAACAGTCTGAGAAGCTGGACTGTATGAAGAAGAACCTGACATCATAATTGGAGGAATGCTCATTAACAACCTGTGATATGCAGGTATCTCAACCTTGCTTGCTGAAAGCAAAGAGGACTTGAAACACTTACTCATGAAAATCTAAGACAGAACTTGTGGGAAACTAAGAAACTGGATGAAATATAAGCGGCCAAATTCTCTACGCTCATAATCACAGGGTTTGGAAGGCCAGCTCTGGTGGGGGAAGGCTCCCAAAGTTATGAGATAGAGATGACTCCCAAAACACATTCCCCTGACTGATAATTGTCCACACAATAGCCCCCGACAAAAGTGCCACTTTGAAGATGTCTCCTACTTGCGCTTGGCTGCTCTCTATGTGCTCAAAGACCAATCACATCCTCTTGTCCATCCCACCCAAAGTGCAGCCGACTACCTTCTAATACTGATCACAGGTTATTACCCTGGAGAGAGAGCTCAAGACCAACCAAGGTTAAGCCTGCTGAAGGACTTTCAAGGTTAAACTGTTACTCTAGTACACGCTCACCATATTGTGCTGTACCTGCTGGAGGCTTGCAAGCCTCATGGTTGGTTTATAATTATAAAATACATTTATTTAATACAATTATAATTTATTAAATTATAAAATATGTTTGCTCTCTCTTAACCCTGACATCAGTAAAGGTGAGCCCCTGTGCCTTGCAATTCTGTCTCTTTCTTTTTCCACAATTGCACAAGCCACTCCTCAGGACCCATTCGATGCAGTTAGTATGGATTACAACTCAATATGAAGAATACAAGACAAGTTCACAATTGGACCAACAAACAACATGATAAATGAAGAAAAGATTGAAGTTGTCAAAGATTTCATTTTGTTTGTATCTATGATCAAAGATCATGGAAGCAGCAGTCAAGAAATCAAATGACATATTGCATTGGACAGACCTGCTACACAAGACACATTTAAAGTGTTACAAAACAAAGGTGTCACTGTAAAGATTGAGGTGCATCTGACCCAAGTCATGGTGTTTTCAACTGTTTCATGTGCATGTGAAAGATGGACA